CTCATTGTGCCCAAGACAGAGATGTAGTGTATTAAAGTCCTTCCCCCTTTTAAATTTAATGTTTGTTTCGTCCCTTCTAAGTGTTTTCTGTTTTAGTGTGTTTAAATTGTCCTTAATTGTTTTTATTCTAATATTTTATTTACTTGACTTGACTTTTCAATAATTTACTAATTGCCAATAGAACTTTATCAAAGTAATTTGATAACTACAAGTTAAAAATATTTGCACACCCACACAATTTTTACATCTAAACTTATTCATTGTCATAAAACTGTCACCTTCATAAAACAATTACTCAATAAATAACACACATTTCATAAATATATCTCTCGAATAAGTATAAATAACTTTTAATAATACAATGGTATATTACATCACTTTCATTTAACAAACAATCACACACATATCTCTTCTTCATTGGATCAAATCTATCTCCTCAAGAACTTCAAACAACTGCAATAACAGAATTGAGTTCTCCATTCAACAATACATAGTAGTTTCAACCATGTTCTACCATCCATCAATTAATAGAGTACCGGCATGTAAGTAATGTTTATTTTATTTATTTGCTCTTTTATTAATTTATTACAATCAAATAGACTATTTTATAACAATTTGTGGGCCTTACCTTGTCTGTTTAAACTTTTAAAACTTTTATACTTTTTATTCAACTTACTCTTTTAAATAAAACCACAGACATGTAATATTGGCATAATTATTGTAATTTACAACATCTACTTTGTTTATCGTTATTAGACAACACCCTAATATGGGTTTTTTATCATTTCAGCATTTGTTTAACTTTGTATCGAGACCTGAGGATGCTTTGCATATTGTAGAAAGCGAAACCGGTCGTCTGATAGTTAAATTAAATTGATTGTGAGTAAGTCTTATTTATTATTTCTTTATCTATTTAATGTACCTAACTTTAACGATATAAACATAAATCATAATATTAAAAAAGAATTTAACAATAGAATAAAAAACATTGAACAACAACTAGAAGAAGTATGGAGTGAATTTAAAAACCAAGTTCCGAAATCTCCACAAACAATGATTATGTAAAACACTAAAAAAATGAACAACGTCTACTGACAAAATCTAATGAAACAGAATATAGACACTTGCAGAGAAGAATAAAAAAGGAGATCAACTTGGACAAAGAAAAATGGATGAGAGAAAGGTGCGATGAAATGGAGGATATAATATCTAAACACGACTTATTTAATGAGCACAAAAAACTAAAAGAAGTGAGTAGCATATTTAAAAAACAAATTTCCTCTGTACTCGTTGACAATAATAACAAAATTAGTGTTACTGAGCACGAAATAAGAAACGAATGGCAGCTGTATATATCAGAGTTTTTGAAGATGACAGAAATAATATTGCCGAATTCTAACAAAATTCTCCTACCGGCCCAGAAATTATGAAATGTTAGGTAGAATGCGCTATTAATAATGCTAAAATTAAAAAAGCTTGTGGTCCAGATGATACACCAACTGAGTTGCTGAAACTAATAGAGGATGGTAACATAAAAGTAGTAGTAAGACTTTTTAATTCAATGTATAACACCGCAGTGTTTCCCACAGATTGGCTCAAATCCATCTTTATCGCAATACAATACTAAAAAACGCAATGCGAGAAAATGCTCAGAATATCGATTAATTAGCCTAATAAGCCACACTCTTAAAATTTTCCTAAAAATTATTCACAACACAATTAGATTCCCAATTTGGTTTTAGAAATGCTATTGGAACCAGGGAGGCACTTTTTGCGCTTAACATCCTATTACAAAAATGCCGTGGCCACAGAAAATATGTATTTGCATGTTTCGTGGACTTCGAAAAGGCATTCGATAAAGTACTGCATGTAAAATTAATGCAAATAATAAAAAATATCGGAATAGATGACAAGGATATTCGTGTCATTAAAAATTTGTACTGGAATCAAACTGCTATCGTAAAAATTGGAGATAACTACACCGATGAAATCTCCATACAAGGAGAAGTCAGACAAGGTTGCATTTTGTCGCCAATATTGTCTAATGTGTACTCGGACAAGTTATTTCAAAAGGCACTTGAGAGACAACCATATGGAATAAAAATCAACGGGGAACTACTTAATGTGGTTAGATATTCAGACAATACAGTAATTCTGTCAGATAATATTAAAGATTTCCAAATTCTGCTTGATCGTATTCACGAAGTACGAAAGGAAATGGACATTAAAATAAACTCAAACAAAACCAAACTTTTAGTGTTTAGTCGTGACCCACATCCCGATGCAAACCTTCAATTAAACGAAGTCCAAGTTGAGAAAGTTCACAAAATGACATATTTGGGAACTGTGATAACGGCCCAACTAGATCCAGACATAGAAATAAAACGTAGAATAGCAATGACTAAAACTACTTTTATGAAAATGAAGTCATTTCTGTGCAATAATCATCTAAATTTGGAACTAAGACAAAGAATGGTTAAGTGTTATGTTTGGTCCGAACTTTTGTATAGTGCAGAAGTGGACGCTAAAAGTATCGATCATGAACAAAATTGAAGCATTGGAAATGTGGGTTTATAGATTAATGCTGAAGATACCTTAGACAGCAAGGAAAACTAATGAAGAAGTACTAAGGAGCGTCAACAAAGATAGAGAACTGCTAAAGACTGTTAAATATCGAAAAATATCTTATCTGGGACATATAGTAAGAGGAAGTCGATATAAAATATTACGACTGATCCTTAAAGACGAAGTAGAGGGCCGTAGAGGTGTAGGAAGAAAACAAGTTTCTTGGTTAAAGAACATTCGTGAATGGACTCAGATATCAAATGCAGGACAATTATTCCATATTGCAGAAGATCGGAGCCTTCGCAAATGTGACCGCCAACGTAGGATAATTCTGATATGGCACGCGAAGAAGAAGAAAATCTCTAGATATCCCGATCTTTGGTATTGTAATATAATAACTATTTTTCCATTTAAATATAAGCTGGATTATAGCTTTATCCTTAAATATAAGTGCTCTAACTTAGATAAAACCTTGGATATGGATACAGTTTACTGCTCTATTATTAATTGTTATTCAATTTTAAATATTTAACAATTACCTATTTAACTAATAAATTTACTTAAGATTAATTTATTAAGAGCTAGGATTAATACTATTACATAAATTAATATTAACTCAACAGTCTTCCGGGTTGAACCGCTTCGATTATCATTGCGCCGAGTTTTCCACATTCTTTTTGATGTCTTCTTCAGGGCTTTCGAAGTGTTAGTCTCTCGAGCCCTCAGACTCTACTACACTGATCACTAACCACTAAGTAACGCATTGGTATTCTAATAAGATCCTCATTTTAAAATAGGAATATTACATTTATCTCCTATTTTGTAATTAATTTTTCAGACATAATAGACTTTGTCAAAAAACTTGATCACACTGTATTATGTATATCCAGCTTTATACTGCAAGGAAAGATAAATGAAGAGGGAAGAATTAGTAAAAATTATAAAAACTGATAAAAAAGTTTAACCTAAGGTAAATTTATAAAAGTTTAATTTCGGTGACTTTCGATAACTCAGACGGATAAAAAAGATACAGTAAAATACAATTTAAGTATGAGATATACTTTAAATCAGTTTAGCTCTTGTGACCTTGTGAGTCCGTACTAATTTGAACATATTTTCGTACAAACATAATGAGTATAATACAAAACGTATATATATATATATATATATATATATATATATATATATATATATATATATATATATTTAAAAAATATTCAATAGTTGAATAGCAGAGGTTGTATCGGTCAATAATAGGAGTATCGGGTAATAGGTTGTATCGGTCAATAATAGTTGTATCGGTCAATGTAGCAGGAGTGCAACTCCTGCTACATTGGCCAGACCAGCCGTTCTCTTCAAGGTCGACTAACGTCCCATAAAAGCGACATTAGGATTTCAAAACCATCCTGTGCCCTTGCACAACATGCCATTTCAACCAAACACAGTATCGACTTCACTAATACCAAAATACTGTGCAAACAAAAAAATTATCATAAGCGTTCTATCCTTGAAATGTGTCAAATTCTTAAACATCCATCATCCCTAAATAAAAGAACCGACATCGACAACTTGAGCCAGATATATCACTCTCTCATCATACACAACAAATAATAATTAAATAAAAAACACTTACAAGATAGTAACTTCATTACCCTTCTTCTTTCCCTATTTTCAAAATATTTTTTTTTTGTAGAAAAAAATATTCCTTTTTGAAAAATAGGGCTGTCCCCGTTCTGCTTACTAACTTTTTTAATAATTGTACCTCACTGCTTTCCGAGAAACTATGGACGACACATGCCACATGTGCAAATGTGACAGCCTAAAACCGATAGAAAACATTCCAAGAGATTATTGTGTTGGGTCTTCGAAAGAGCTTACACCCACATTGAGATGAAGCCATCGGTAAAAATTAAATAAACAATAGTGCTGTTTCAGTTTTTTCCTGTGTGTTTTTTGTTTCGATTCTATCGTTTAGTTTTTAAATTTTTTAATGTTAAGTTATCGTAGAGTGTGTTTAACATCTTTTACAAAACCTACAAATTGTTTTTGTAAGTATGAACCCTTTTGGTTATTTACTTATTTTTTACATCGTTTTATTTTTATTTGTAGTGAACTGATGATGCTTTTGAAAACTAAAAAGCGAAACGTATTCGATTAAATCAATGAAGTAGTTGACGACTTTCATTTGCCTATTATTGACCGATACAACCTCTGCTATTCAACTATTGAATATTTTTTAAATTTAATCAACGGTCGTATTTTTTGCTATATATATATATATATATATATATATATATATATATATATATATATATATATATATATATATATATATATATATGTATATATATGTGTATATATGTTTTTATATATTTTTAAAACAAACAAACTTTTTGTGGGTTAATATTTTAGTATGTGCATCAATTTCTCCTTACCTTGCTCACCCGACCATTGTCAGTCTGGTTAGAGATATTCATGTTTATTTGTTCGCTATTACTAACAATCTCATTGAAAGCCTCTAAAGTTTTGTCGTTAAAGAATTCAGATAGCGTTGGGAACGTCGGGGGAACACTATTACTTCCCATAGTAGTACTAATAACAGTACTAGATTCTACTACCACCAGATCAGGTTCAGCCGTGCTAGCATCACTTGTGCTTAGGGTATTGGTACTACTTTCAGTGGCAGTTAATTTTGTGCTCTCAATATCCAATGTGCTGACAGTACTACTATCTTGGGGTAAAGTAACTGTGTTAGAATTCAAGACAGTAGTAGAAAGTAGAGTAGAAGTTGAAGTAGTACTACTTTGTTCTTTACTGGAAGGAAGAGACGTGGTGCTTGAGGTTTCTGAAGATATAGTCGAAGGAATAGTTGTAGGTTCTGCTTTAGACATAATAGTAGTTTGTGTGCTACTTGGTGCTTGGGTAGTGGTAGAAGTTGCAGGTGTATTTGTGCTAGTATCTGACAAAGTAGTTCTACTTTTTACTTCTGTAGTGGTAATAGGAGATTGGGAAATGGTATTTTGTGCTTTTGTGGAGGAGGTAGTGGCTTGAGTTGTGCTGGCAGCTACTGTATTTGATTTCACATCTACAGAGGGTATAGTATTCTGATCATCCTAAAAAATGTACAAACAATTGACTAAGATAAAAAAGAGTGCCACTTCCTTTTTGCGTTGAAATGGATTAATGTTAAAAATAATGAAATGGTCACATACTACAACACTATAAAGAGTTCTTTTTAAATATAGAAGTTTAGATCTAATAACCATTTCAATATTTTATCACTCGAGTTTTGATGCATATGTACAATATAAAAAAATATATTCTGAATATGAAAAATCTGTTATATACAGATAAGCAATACTTAATATGAATATCTTAGATTTATGAAGTTTACTGGCCAATATAAGAAAAAATATTAGATTTATCGTCCCATTTAACGAATAAAAATGCAGAATATATTTTTGTTTTAGTATATTTTTACAGCCTTTTGGCGAATGTGTATTTATGTCACCATCACCCACTAACATGCAAATGAAACTAATTTATCATTATTTACAATACTGTAAATAGTGCACGTGTGTGAAGCAAAGTGAACAAATATAAACTCAAGTGATAATTTTGAAGCCGAAGAAGCTCCAATACCAAATAAAGTTATCGACAAGAAGTACCGTATTTATATTTATATTTTCCGGGGAACTTCCAAGGTCGCTTGTTACTTGGTTACTGGTTATTTCTGGCAAAGGTGGAGGGTTTTCACGTGTATCGAATCCCCTTACCCTTATTATCATATCCATGGGAACCTCAGTTCCGTTTGGGAATTTTTTTACGACAGTGTTGTTAGGATACACACCAATAACATAAAATGGAGCATTAGGTTCTACCTTTGGCCTCTTACGTAAAATAGTGTTATTGTTAAGTACAGCAAAGATGAAGTAATCAGGAGTTGATGTATCGATTCTATTTTGTACAGGTTCTTGAATGAAATTAAGTTTTTTATTGGATCTGATACTATTAGTTTGAGTGTTATTTACAGTTTCAGTACTACTTGATATAGACCCACTACTGTTTAAAGATTCAGTACTATTTGACATAGAATCACTACTACTCAGAGATTCAGTACTACTTGACATAGGACTACTATTATTTAATGTTTCAGTGCTACTTGACACAGAACCATCAGACATCATAGTTTCCATAACACTTATCGTTGGATTACTAGTATTTACAGTTTCAGTACTACTAGACGTAGGAACGCTGCTGGTTTGACGAGAAGGTTCAGTAGTTATTTCCACAGTTGTGATCTCTAACTTATCTTCTTGAGGAGCTTCTTTAGTAGTGGCACTTTGAGTAGTAGCTGCGTTATCAAAATTGGATCTACCTGCTATATTTACTACAGTAGTGGAAATAATATCTTCTACTGTTACAGTGTTAAGGGAAATGTCGTTAGCAGAAAAAACAGAAACACTTCCAGGACTCACTTCAAATTTTTGGAAAGATGGCGTGGTGAATATAGTAAAGAAACTACTAGCGTCTGTAGGGATGGTACCAAATTCAGTACCAGTAGGAATTGACGGAGTTAAGTTTTCTATAGTAGTTCCAATAGTAGAAGGAGAATCGGTATTAGCAGCAATATTTTCTAATATTGTATTTACAGAATTATTAACAACCTCCGTATTTGAAGTTGCATTTTCTGTAGACAATAACTCTTCTAAAGATGTAGTTGATTGAGAGTCAACTGTGGAAATTACTTCTGTAGAAGTGGAGGTGGTAACTGTAGTTTCAGTTGTATTAGGTATTACAGAAACAATTTGAGAAGAAGTATTATCAGATAAAATAGAATTAGAAGATATCTCTTCAGTGTTAGCGGAAGTAGAGGTAGCTGTGGGTGCAGTTACTACAGTAGTAAACTCAGGAGATGCAGTTGATAGAGGAAAGAAAGTAGTAGAAACAAAAGGTCCTCTACCAGGAGTTCTATTATTTACATATTTTGGAGTAACAACAACCTCTTGTTGTTGCGGTGATACCAAACCATTTAACAGATCCAACAATTTACGTATAGTTTCTTGCTGCTTATTTTCCTCAGAAAGTTGATCTAAAATACTAAGTGGAAAGATTGTTGTGCTACTAGGTGCAAGAAGTGGTCTGCTAGTGGAAGACTTAGTCACACTAGATACAGGCGTGGTAGTGAAAGAGCTCAAAGTATTGAAATCGGTACCTACTTGCCCATCACTCGTTATATCTGTAGCTTGAATAGCATTAAGGGAACTTAATATCTTCTCTATTATTGTCGTGGGATTTTCCGTTGTAAATGCAACGGTATCATTAGATTCTGTAGTTTTTGACGAATCAGTTAAATCAGTCTGTCTAGATTTTTTTGGCGATAATTTTAATATCGCTGATGGGGATTCTGAAGTCGATGCTGTACTACTAAAAAGGGTACCCGAAGATGGCGGAGTGGTAGATCTTGCGCTGATTGAATTTATTATTCGTTCAATAATGGAGACTGTCTTTTCAGTGGTGCCATCATTAACCTTGAGAAAGAAATTTTGTTACTTGTTTGTTAATAATGAGTTTCTAATAACATTTATAGATGTTTTCATAAATTACAATTTTTTTTGCTTTTATTTTTATAAAAAGTTTAAATAAATACAAGTAGTAGGAATAAAGTGGATATATTGACCTTTAAGTAATACCTAAACTTATGTTATTGTGAAGGTGCAAATATTTTCGTAAATCTATAGATACCAAATAAAATGGTTTTGTAATTAAATATTTTTGCAGCCTTATAGCAGTTTTCTAGAACGATTTTCTCTGCCATATTATCTGCTCAAGTAACAAATATTTACGAAAATCACATTTGTAACAAGAAGTTGTAGTAAAAGTTGCAGACATAGCATTGACTTAAAAACATTTGAGCATCAGCAGATAAAAGCCAAAAGGAAATAAATTCAGACAACGGAATTTAAGACTGGCAAATAAACGGCATTAAAAATTACCAATCATTGAAACCCTCATTTTACCTTATAAGTTTTTTGTTTGTAAGACGAGTGCCAATTGACTTTGCTATACACTATATTGACTATAAGGGTAAAGACTTAAGAAAAATGCAAATTTAAACTTTTTAAAATATTTGTACTGCACAGTTGAATCATTTGAACTTTCTTAGTCATTATTTTAGCCGCCATTCGGTTAAACCAGCATTAGATTTAAATTATATATATATATATTTTTTAATTAAATGATCCGTAACCACCACGAAGGTTATTAGCAAAAGAACCGTTTCGTGTAGCGTGTGTGTTAAGTAAAAGCGTTAGAAATATCGGCTCCACTGTTTTTTGACAGACTTAATAAAAGTACGTCTATACTTCAATACCCACGAACGCTTTTCAACAGAACAGTCTATGTAAAGTAGTGATAATTAAACTACAACAAAAACCAACTGAAGAGGTTCAACACATCGTTAAAGAAAAAAATTGCATTAATGTAGTGGTGCAAGACAAACGATCTTGATAAGTACGAACTTTACCGCAAAAAAAATCAACCTGCTTCATGCAATGAGTAATATTGTGATCAGCTCTACACTGACTTGGACACACCTGGAGGCTAGAACAAGATCTAGCGCTAGAGCAATTCTTGAGTATCTGTTCTTGTGTTAGAGTGAATATTGAGATTTTTGATATATGTATTAAAATTAAATACTTTAAATATTATTTAATATTTATTTTGCAAATGTGAAATGTTTTAACTCCTTATGCACGAGTGCTGAGTTAGCAACTCTTGTGTGGTTGCAAGAACATATTTTTATATTAAAAAAAATCAGAATAACCTAGGTCTATGCCTAATAAATACGTGTATCTTTCTCCTTTTTTAGCTTCATAATTTAGAAAACAACTTCACACCGAATTTTCATACACACTGTTCATTGGTGCAGAACCTTTTAACTTATACCACATATTAGAAGTCTAAGTGAGTGCCGTTATAAAGAAGTTAAAGAACAATATTTCAGCTGAATTCTTGAAGGTATCTAGCCACTAGAACAAAAGAACAAAGGTAACGTCGCAGAATACTCCAATCCCACCAAATCCTCATCTTATACAATGCCATAAATTTTTTTAAAATGGTGGTAGAAACCTGACTCGGCAACTTCATTCGCATCATTCCGAGGGATGAGCAAAATAGTGCACTTGCTTTTGTCGATATTGAAAAGTAACTGAAGTATTGTGTAATCATTGCAAGCATCTATTGGCCATATATGAAACAGAAAGAGTTTACTTATGCTGAATCTTGATTTATTATCTGATATGTTTTGCACTGAGTAGGTTTATGCTTCTTTATTTTTAATGTTTATAATTTATGTTTATAACCATATTATTAGTAATAATATTCATCAAGTTTTAATCAGGCAACTTGCGCAGTAGAAAATACAACACCGCTTAAACTGACGTAACCAGAAGTGCATACAGAGAACTTACTAATGATGCAAAAAATGCGTACCTAGATGGATAAACCTGTGTAAACCAAGATTACATCGAAAATAACTGCCTCAAACCAATTATTAACATTAGAAAGGACGTTTCTTTAACGATAAGGTTCCCTATTCCCTATTAAGAATCAAGGTATACCAAACAAACATTTCCTGAAATATATCGTCAAAGACCTTTAGATTAAAAACGACAAATACTGATATGGATGTCAAGCCCAAGAAACCATCCAACATTTTACTACTGGCCGTCAGGCCTTTGCTGCTACTGAATATAAGGAACGGCATGACTCAGTAGAAAAGATCTTTTACCAAGAGATAGCAAAGAAACTGTGATTTCCCCAAACAAACCATCTTTCATATTATCAATACGCACCTAAGAATGCGCTTGAAAATAATAACTACAAGCTATATTGGGACCGCACTTCCAGACCAACCAGTGGCAAATGAGGAACGAGAAACAGTCTTTGGAAGTCATATCTTTGGACATGTTGACAACTTCACATACCTTGGGTCGCTATTGACTGCTACCAATAAAACAAGCGAAGAAATTAAAAGACGAATAAATCTTACAAATAGGGCATACTATGGACTCCAAAAGCATTTCACTCAAGAAACATTCAAAGAAGAACTAAAATTATTATATACAAAACATTGCCTGAGGCCGGTCCCTACATATGGAGCAGAAACATGGACTCTAACGCAAAAAGATGAAAGACTTTTGGGAATATTTGAGCGTAAAATACTCCGCAAAATATTTGGAGCTATCAACGACCAAGGGCAGTGCGCAGAAGATGATAATTTGAATTGTATCAGCTCTTTGATGAGCCAGATATCATAACGTTCATTAAAATGACAGCGACTTAGATGAGCTGGACACATAATACGAATGCCAGAAAATACGATTGCTAAAAAGCTAACCACAGGAACACCTGTAGGAAGAAGAAGCAAAGGTCGACCGCGAATTAGGTGGTTAGATGGAGTTGAAACCGACTTACGGATATTAAAAATCAGTAGATGGCAACATGTTGCCAGAAACCGAACAGAATGGCGACGAATCTTAGAGCAGGCCAAGATCCACAGAGGATTGTCGAGCCAAAGATGATGATGATGATGAATTAACTTGACAAATAAAACTAATATATGTGGCGATCCCTACCAATAATATTCTGCATGTTAAACACAACGAAAAGATCGTCAAGGACACAGATCTGGATATACATATAAAGAGATAATGGAAAATGAAAAGGACCCAGATAGTTCGAACCAAAACTTTTGAAAAAAGCTCTTACATATTATGTCACCTAGGGCTCGATACCACGAAAAGATTCCCACCAGATCTCAATCTTTTTTATAAATAGGAACTGCTTATAAAAAACGAAATTACTCAGCGAGAAATATTCTTCATTAAGAATTAGCCAACAATTAGAGTTTTCCAAACACAGGCTACAGACAACTACAGGCTATACTCCACCGCATTCTGAGCAAAGACCTACCAGTAGCACATAACAGACCGGATCTCATAGTTAATAAACTAGTCATAGCGTAAGTATCTAAGACAATGGTATTTTTTTCCTTAAAAAGTGTAAGAGCTGTATAGTTTAAATTTATAAAACATAAAAATATTATTGGAAAAGACCTTAAGAAGGTCAATATCATTAAATTAAATCAGTTAAAAAGAAATAAATACTGGCGAAAGCACTGTGTGAACAATCTAAATCAATACTTAACACTGGATTTTTAGGTCTGTATTGGTAAATAAATACATAAATAAAATATTTGCACCTTAAACTTGGCTTTTAACAATAACTCATTTTTATTGTTTTTTTTTTTGTTTTAACGTAAAACGATAAGGTATATTAATATAAAGTTTTATAATCTAAAGGTTTTATATTCCCATATAAAGGTCCATTCCTTCCCGTCTTTAACCTATGTAACCTGCATGAAAAAATCTATGAGATTATTATTTGAAACTCATTATTATTTTTGTTGTTTAGTTTACCAATGGTAAAAGAACAGAGTTAGCAGTTGAGGATACAAAATCCCCCTTGACAAGATTTGCTGACTGAAGTGCATTAACAGGTTCATCGATAGATATTATGTGGATTCCATCGTCGTGGTCCTTTTGGTTAGATGTATCAACCTGAAAGTTTTTAATATGTAAGTAGGTGTTAATCCAACAAAATTATTCTTATATTTCAATCCAAAAGTAAAACTTTGAGCACTGGATGTTGACAAGGAGATTCGATCGGAATATTAGTGTTAATTTTATGATATTGTTAGATTTATTTTGATATTACTTATATATTATTATTTATGATAATTAATATATAAATAATATAACTAGTATGGTTCAAGATTATTAGTAATTGCTAAAAAGTTGTTTATATTCTTAACATAACTTAACTCAATGTATGTTTATAAGGGTGCTTTTGCAGGGTAAGCGTCAGACATCCCTATAATAACGTATGGATTTTCTAATGTTTACACATGTTTTTGAATTCTGATTTTTTACTATACATGGATACAAAAGGGTTTTTTATATTCACTGGTAAGATACACTTGTTACACATTGTATACTTTGGACCTATTGGTACGTCTTTTTGTTGTTTAAAATATAGCTTAACTTACCGAAACCTACCCAAAATAATTGTACCTATGCATCTTTGTATTTGCCATTTCTGAACAAAAAAGTTCTCTAAAATTTTTTAATAGAATTGTGAGATAATTAATTTATATACAATTTTTAAGTATAAAATTAATATTAGATTAACAAACCAAGGTTTAAACGGACGTTGCTTTCTGGAAAATTTATACCATCTGTCATAGAACTACATCGTTTAGTGTAAATATATTTTATGGAAATGTGGGTATTGGACATAAAAAGATTATTACAAGATCAGTTCCAAATGATTTTGACGACAGTGAGTTAGATAAGAGATGATGAATTCCTAATTGAATGGTATCTGCAAGTGTAATTTTTGATACTCTTCTCGCAAATTACATTTCTAGTATCAATATTTTTTAGGACGAAAGTGCACAAGATAAGGGATATGACATGACGTCCTTTCTAGTAAGATATAAAGCGTAATATTTATCTAATTCCAGAGGTAAAAAGTTAAAAGAATCTTACAAAGGGAAAGGCTGTAAAATAGAAATTTAAATACCTGTTCGGAAATGAAAAGATAATAAACAATTTAAAATAGCTAATAGAAAACATAAATAAATCTTTTTATGGTGAGTTGATTGAACTTTTAATTAAGAAGTAAATTTATTATACATTCAAAAAAATCCAAATAAACTACTTGCAGTAACAAAACCTGAAATGGAACAATTTATGTTCATATCATGCTACATGTCATAAAAAAATCGAAGACAATGAATATTCTGAAATCCAAACACGAGGATAACCCAAGTAGCTGATATCTAAACCGATTGGAGAGTATAAAGAAATTTACATATGAGCGATAGCTCTAAACAACCATTTAAAGACTTTCCAGATTATGACAAATTATACAAAAGACCAGTAAATCACTAAAGTACATGAATCATGTTTTCTAATTCCCATTAAAGAGTTTTTGTTATTCGATCAGCAAATATATGGACTGTATCGGTGATACAATAGTTTTTTCCAATTCCATAGAACTGCAAAACTTAATGAACAAAATAACAGAAACAAGTAGAACATATGTACTGGATATAAACACCAGTAAAACCAAGCTAATGATCGTTAGCAAGGAAAACATAACTGGAGCTAATCTGTATGTGAATCAAATGAGAATTGATCGTGTCTCACAGTATAATTACTTGGTAACTAAAATCAATGAGTCGTAAGACAATACCCAAGAGATTAAATGTCATATCGGAAAGGCAAAAACTGCATTCTTGACTATGAGCTCTGTGTTCCAGGGCCATGACTTCACCCTAAAAACAAAAATAAGGCTCCTTAAATGTTACGTATACTCAGTGTTTCTGTACGGAGGGGGGTACAAAATGTTTGCTTTATCATGAACAATATCAAAGGTTATCTAAGATTATTCCAAAACACCAGAATTATAAATTGCACTTTGATAATTTGTTTAACACAATCAACCTACAGCTACAATTAGCAAAGTGGTATACAATGTGTAAGGACTGTAAGGTAAAATAGACTCGCTGGCTGTGAACTGATATCAGATAAAGAAATAAAAAAATAAAAGATTTAAAAGGGTAATTTCAGGAAGAAAAAACTATTATTAATTTTTCTTCCCCTGGTTGTGGTGAAGTGATATAAAAAACGTGATTATTTTAAGCTCATAGGCAGGAGTGTAACGATGTCACAAAAAGAAGAGATGATACTTTCTATTTGAAGAATATATTGATATTGATTGCCTATTTGCTAGATTCGCTGGTTGTCTTATATAGAATAACCATTAGGTTAAAGAACAGTAACACAAATTCCTTTTTTACTTAGCTGACATGATTGTTGCTGAAGTATGTTGTTTAATTATTGGTGGTTTTTAGACAAAAGAAATTCCAATTTGTTAAAAATACTAAGAACAGTTACGTCAACTATAATTCAAAGCAAAAATTTCACAAACCCTTTGTTTGAAAAATAAGAAAACTTGTTTTTAAAAAAGACGTCTATCTAGTTACAATGCGTCTACTTCATACGAGCAAAAGTAAATAAAAACAATAGCATCCATTCCTTGCGAAAAAGTTAGAGAAGATCAAAAATAGATTATTGTTCCATATATCTTGAACTAAAAGAAAGATATAAAAAACCTAATGGTGAAGGAACTTCTAAAGTTCAATGCTAAAAATGTAAAATATTATTTTCATTAAAACAGTCTAAAATAACATTAAAGTAATGCAGTAAACACTGTAAAGAAAAAAATGAAAATAAATCTCAATAAATATAAAAGAGCTCAGGCAAAAATAAAGATTATTTGATCCATACCCTGACTGGAGTTTCAACAATATTATCTTTTTGCAATAAGCTTGACAAAACTTTTTACCTTGTAGAATGTTATATTTGAGCCATTAGTTTGTATCAAAAATTAAAGATACTGTAATTTTGAGGTGATTTTGAAGTGCACAATAGACTGTTCTTTAAAAAAAGAATTTTCAATCTTTGTGATTATTGCTATTAATTCGTTGTCCATTAGTGTAGTTCTGCTTGTATATTATCAGGGCCTGTGGCTTTGCCATCCTTTAACTGTGTTATTGCAGAATAAACTTCCTGCTGCAATATTCTTGGTTCATCATTTACCTCTTCTTCAAGCTTAAAGGTGTTATCTTTTTGGTCTTCAATTATTTTTTACTATATATTCTTTTCCACGTTCTTCTTTTACTCGGTTTATCCAACATATTGTTTCCGTCAAAATCAGTTATATTTTCTTTCTGCCTTCGTCTTAGTCCCTCTGTGTGTTTTTAACATCCACATTTATTATCACAATTATATGGGTAAAATTAGGAAGTTAAGATTAGTGCAAGATTACAAATTAAGGGCTTCAATTTGTTATTAAACAAGTACCAACTTCCATTTGAAAATTTTCTTTATTTTTGAGCATGGGCCTGTAACTCATACAGTATGTCCAAAGATGTGCCTGTTAACGAATACATCACTTAAGTTTAATGAACTTTAACGAAATTACCGCCATAGATGCGATAGATTAATGTAATGCTAATATAAAGAGCAATAATACATATTTTGATTTAGAGTATTCGTGTGTTATTTGCAATCGCATAAAAATAAATAATAAAAAAATATAAAAATGATTGTTTAGGTATACCAGTAACTGTGTACCAAATACATATATTATATAAACCTTCGTATTTTATATACCCTTTCGTATAATATGTATATTTTAAGTAATATGTCAAATATATTAACAGCTTTTTAGCATCACTTAAAATCAATTTAAAAAATGTATGTATCTCAATATTAGAATTTTTAATCAAAGGGGTAAATTTTAATCATTTACCTAATTTTAGTATTAGTTAGAATCTAAAAATGTATTTTAAATTATTAAAATATGTGCAAAAACATAGCTGTGCTCGTTAAAAATGGTAATAAAATCAATGAATATTTATGGTAGCTATACTTCAATAATGAAATTTTAAATTTTAATACTTTATAAAAAAAGTATAATCGGAGACCTAGAAAAAAGTTTTTAAATGTTATTTCTAATTTAAAATAATTGTAAATTTAAAAGGCCAAGTAATTAAAAATGAATTAATAATAAAAATGTTGTGTTCATATTAAATACCGTAGAAATTCCACAATATGCAATGATTAGACATAATGTACTAAATAATATAATACAAAAGGTAAAAATTCATACGAAAACAAAAATTAACACAATAAAAATTATAAATTTTAAAGATAGAAAAATAAATAATTTCTAAACCAAATTGTAGATTCAGCTAAATACAAACTATTATAATAAAATGATTATATTTTAACGTAATACGACCCATTAGGATGTCAAAGAGATAAATAATACAATGAATTTAACAGATATTGCTGATCTAAGTAGTTATTGAAGAGAACGGTGAAAAACTATGAGGAAGCGTGCAGTAGTTTGAAATATATGGATGGAATCAAATTATACCAAAAAGGAATTTTGCATCATGAAACAAACATATTGAAACTTTTGACAAAATAATTAGTAACGATATATAGAACTGAATATTATGCATTTAATAAATACCAAAACTCTATGATTGAAGTTGAACGTTCAGTCCTTATAATTGGATTTCCTTTCTTTAATTATTAATTGATTTCCATTATTTTCTTTTTTTTTTTCTCTTTAGTAAGCAATTTTTATCTTTTTAAAATGACCCCTGACTTGACTTTCTTATCTGCACTTTGATCTTTCTCGAATTCTCGAATTTATATTTTAATATTTTATTTATGAGTTTATCTTCCCCTGTTTTTTGGATATTACTAAACTATTTCAGTCGTTTAGCCTTTATGTAGCGGAGTATATCTTTTCGATTTATCTGGGTTCACGTTTCGTTATTTAATAATCGTCTTAATTATCTTTCTTAAGTTTTCTTTAGTTCGAAATGTCTTCCAGAAAATTTTCTTTTTATAACCCCTTAATTTTTCTTCATCTTTTTAACATTTTAGGATCTTATTTCTCAGCTGTAAGTTCA